GTTCCGTTGTGCCTTATGGGCTCTCTCTCTCTCTCTCGAGCCCAACTAATAGCCGCACAAAAGCGGCGCATGATATATAGGCAGAATGGCATTACCGGTTGCGGGTTGGGCTCGAGAGAGAGAGCCCGTAAGGCACAACTGAACGATTGAGTTCCGTAATAACGATCAGTGAGCACCCCCTACCATTGTATATTCCCGATCGAAACCGACAGGGCAACGGGCTCGTGGCCCACTGCTTTGAGATGTGGACTTCTAACTGACAGGTCGCGAGTTCGAGCCTCGGGTGTTCCACACTTCGGGGTTGGGTATGACTGGCTGACGACGGCCAATAAGCCAGAAATGGCCATTCCAGTCTCCCTTGTCTCCGTCGGTAATGCCAACATGCTTTCCATCTACGTGAAGGCTGCCAGCGATGTTTGGTGTTGGAGGCGTGTGTATGTGTGGTGCATGTGTCGATGGCGGAATGTGTGGTGATGCCGTCATATCTGCGGGAATTAGCTGCAGGTTTCCGTGGAGGTGCGTGTGGCCGAAGAGAGCCATGCGATGACTGAATACGCGAGGATGATGCGGGCAGTTGAGGCGATGGCGTCGGTGTGCCCCCATCTGTGCTGAAAATCGGGACGATATTCACCGCAATACAAGCCACAGAACCAGCGCAAATCAAATGTAGAGTCTCAAGTATCTCCTTCGTTTCTCGGGCAGGTATAGATAACGTTGTTGTCCCTACCAGACATTGCATTGGGGCGATTTGCCAGATGATAGTTCGACTGTCGCAACCGTCGGTGTCCACTGTATGCTCGACAGCAAGCTGATAGCAGGCACGATGACTTGCATGTGAATTCGTTCACAGTGAGAGTAGACTTGCGCAGCATCTACCACACTCCCTCCTCCTCCCCCCCCCCATCTGGGTCGGATGTCAAGACATAGCCAAGGAGACCGGAGGCCAGAGAGGGCGCAGGTGACTGGCACTACCGGACCCGCACCTAGGCGTACGATCACACCCCCTGGTCCGCAAAAAATATTTGATCGTGTTTTTACCAACAACAACAACAACAACAACAGAAACGTGGATGATTGGGCAGCCATGCATATGAAATGTATACCCAGCGCGAACGCAAGTGCATCTGCCGAGGGGGAGCCAGATGCCAGAGAATTGCCAGCGCACACCAGGCGGTGAGAACCATGGTTTCCTGATCATGGCATGACAGACACTCACAATCCTTAAGGGTGACATTCAGCCCAGCACTTAGCCTGAGCCATCACCTTTCAATGGCCGGGTAAGCAGTCAGTCGTAGACTGAGAAGCGCTGCCCGTAAAACACACGACATTTCGACCGTCGTTCCCGACGATGTCCACCCTGCGCTCCATATTAAGGTTAATCAGGCACGGTGACTTGCACGTGAGTTAGTTTATAGTGATAGTAGAGTTGTGCAACATCTACCCCACTCTCCCCTCCTTTCCACCCTGGCTCTGTGTCAAGACAGAGTCAAGAGGACTGGAGATGGGGGAGGGCGCAGTCGAGCCCGCACCCTGGCGCTCCACTCCACACCCTCTAGTACACACACCAAATGACTAGGATTTTAACCAACGAAAAAGGTAGAGGCTGGTGTGGCCGAAGCCGTCCCTAGGCGTGCTGTCACACCCGGCTCGGGTCCCACGGAGTGGGCGTGTCATAAGGGCCACACTAAGAAGGAGCCATTGCAGCCTGACGCTCAGACCACCAGCCGGCCACTCCACAACTGCAGCACACACACAACGCCGGGTCGACTGCGAGGTCCAGGTTATCCCGTCAGTTGGCGACCTTCCAAGCCACGGCCTTTAGCACATTGTGATAGCTTCAGGCTCGTCAGATTGTTTATAGTAAGGAGGAAAATGAGCTGAGTCGTTGACCTCATTCTCCCTTCCCACGCCCATACCTCAGCCACTGTCGGAGCCGGTCATTTGACTGGAGCGGGGAATGGACATGTGCAGTGAACTTGTCTGCGTTCGCAACGTGCATGACCTGACCCCCCCCCCACACACACAAAAGCACCAGGATTTCACACAAAGGGGGTTGGGCCACATAAATCTCACATGCGTGAGAGTGCCCTGGGTCAGATTAAGCGGGAACCGTTTCAGCCGGGCTCTTGGCCCACCAGTCTGCCACTTCACACAAATGCACATAACTGGACAAACTGCGTGGACTGAGTTGGGGCTTGAAGAAGGAGACACGATCGCCGGGACAAGAGCTTTATTAGCCTAACGTTTCGGATTCCTGCTCGAATCTATCATCAGAGACAACAGCAGATGATGAGTTCGAGCAGGAATTCGAAACGTTAGGCTACTAAAGCTCTTGTCCCGGCAATCGTGTCTCCTTCATCAAGACTACATCCTGGGATTCGTCTCTTCGCTTCTATTGGCACTGAGTTGGGTTGTCAGTCAGCAGCCTTCCAAGCTACGACACTTGACGCACCGTGATAGTCTTGGATTCAGATCACACATGGATCAGAGGAACCGCATGGTGACGGAGCCGAAACTCACGATCCCCATATGCGTGGCAGGTGGCAATTGAGTCCTTGCGTTGTGCGGTGATGGCTGACACCGTTGTGTGGTGCAGTTGCCGGCGGAGGAATGTGTGATTGTGTGATATGGCCGGGGGTTGTCTACCGCAGGTTTTCATGAATGCTCATGTGACCTAACAAGCCTATGCGGTGGCTGAATGTGCGAGGGTAATGAGGGCAGTAGAGACGGTTTGGCTAGACAACACCCAGTCTATGAACGTAATTCTTATGAGTCCGGACGAAAAGGTGAAGTAAGTAAATTGCAGACGAACTGATGTTTGTCCCCACCCGACACGCACGCTTCCATCTCAGCATCGTCAGTCCAAATACTTCGACACCACATCGACTGAAGCCAAATGAGTCGAGTCATTGCGCATTCAAACCTTCGTCTTCCACAAATCTCTTTCCTAGGTCGAACCCAAACGGCACGCCCTGATCGTACACCCCTTTCGTTCAAACGATGTCTCAATGTGCGTATCGATGCTGAAAACCGACGGAGTTTCTGCACCACAGGTCGCCAAGCAAACTAACTGGCCTCCGTTGTTCCGGTAAACAACCCATATCCTCCTTTATTTGTTATTTTCGGCGTCCGTTTTCTCGAGGTTGATCATAATCTGTAGCTTTCTTGTTTCACCTTATCCATTTATGAACGGTCTTCTCATTCACATGTCCTTGTCAGAGCTCCTGCATTCAATGAACATGGGAAGGTCGGCAGATTACTGGCTGAACGATTCAAGCACCGGTCGCACTCTAGAGGAAGCATGGAGGTAATCGTGTCGATCGATAAGGACATGCCACGACTACGTGAAATGAGTCATTTCAAGGGTACGCGATGCGTACGCCGTGCAAGTGGGTCTGCTCAGTGCGCTATCGATTCGACGCCTAAGCAAATACTTCGCACTTTCGTCCCGGATGAAGTGTTCAAGCCCTCCGTGTCGGCATGGCAGATCTTTTGGCCCTATTCACAAACGACGGCTTGGATTAATTCGTACCGCTACCCATGCACGGGTTAGTAGTTCGTCCCCTTAAATAAGTGGGTATGTCCTAGCCACGACATTTCGTTGACAAAGTGCTTTATTTGCCCAGACGTGTACACCGGCGAAGTTTTTGAGTCGAAAGTCAGTAAAAAATGACCTCGTTATGTTAGGGCCATTTTCGAATGAAATTCACCCGAGTAGCTTAAAATACGTTTAGTCAAAAGTCACCAACCTTTTGCTTACAAACTGACTGTGGATTTTACCACCAGCTAGTTGGTTCTTAACCTCACCTAATACTATTTTCCAGTTGAAAGCACGCTGAATTTTCTTAGCCTAACTGACGTCGACAGTCAATAACAAAAAATTCTTCTGTTCACCCCTCCTCCCCCCCCCCCGACGAGGCCGTTCCGGTTTCCGGCAGGTATTTTTGACCAAGAGTAGAAGGAGGCTTTGAGTTTTCGTATTTTTCTCGGAAAACAAGATTAACACTCCGTACTCGAAACCAGTCTTTTGGCGCCTTCAAACAGGAATTTGGTGTGGGGTAAATTTCAGCGAACGAGATCTTCGAAATTTCCCCAAGAGGATGCACACCAAGGAGTCTCAAGATGACCCAAATATCTAAGCAGCACTTGCGAAAAAAACCCACTGCTTAAGCGGAAGCATAATTGCTTATATGGTAGCAAAATTTTCCAAAATTACCTTTATATTATGTTAATATACACTTCGATCGGAGATCTTAACCAACACGAGCGTTGAACACACTCGCGACCTTATTTGTGGGTGACGCTTTTAGATTGCAGGGGTGTCCAGCGTTGGGTCCACGTAACGGTTGTAGTAGGTCCCTTGTTTGCTCGCAGGTGAAGCGATCGCTGGAACAATGGCTTTATTCACCTGACGTTTCGGATTCTCTCGTAAATCCATAATCAGAGACAGTTGCAGAAAAGGGTGGCTCGTGTACAGGAAGTCGCAGTATTTATAGGAGGCGGTCGCCATGCTACCGCATACCTACAGCAATTAACCGTGCTCCCTTCATCAAGGATTGTTGCCCGCTGGTGCGCTAATTGCTTGATGGCCGGCATGCAAGTTGTTAATTGCTGACATCTCATCACCCGTGTTGGATGCTGGCGTGATGGTTGCCCGACCATCTGGCTCACCGGCTTGCGCGCTCACCGAGTGGCCAGTCTATGCCTCAGCACGGAATATTGAATGGGGATGTCGTTGCACTCGTTAATAGACTGAGGTCCCGTGAACCATGACTCAAGCAACTCGCGGCTCACGCGATTATCCCCTTTCGCGAGAATTTCGGCCTCATCTAACTTGAATGTATGGCCGGGTCTCGTCGAATGGGCCGCGACCTGAGAGTTGGCGTCATTTCTCCGTACCGCTGCCGCGTGTTCGGCAATTCGCGTTCGGAGCAGTCTTCCAGTTTCTCCGACGTAGTTGCTTTGTCCGAAACTGCACCAGATCCGGTAAACGACTCCAGATGTTTCTTGCCGTGGCAGTGGGTCTTTTGGTCTCATCACCTGACGCCTCCTGGTGGCCTCCGGTCTGTGTACAGACCCATGGTCTCAACGGTTCCAATGACAATGGTCTGCTCCTTCTACGAACCTGCGCAAAACACCGCCTCATCCTGTCAATAACCTTCTTCTGTCTGCCAGAGCGAGATAAGGCCACCTGGATGCATCCTCGGTCGCGCCAGTGGCGCCTGCTGGACTATGTCCTCGTGCGGAGGCAAGACCGGCGGGACGTGCTGGTGACAAAGGCGATTCCGGGCGCCGACGAGTAAACCGACCATCGCCTCGTCATCTCCGAGATGCGGATTCGCCTAGAGCCTTGCAGGAGACCTCAAGGTAAGCGATCCCGAGGTAAGTTGAATACTGACTTGTTGCCCTTGCATCCTCACCAGCTCCACTTCAACAATGAGCTAGCTCAACGGCTAGACAACCTTCCAGTCACTGCCGCCGCCGCCGCCGCCGCCGCCGCCGCCGCCGCCGCCGCCGCCGCCGCCGCCGCCGCCGCCGCTGACGAGAACGCCTCCGTGGCGAACGGATGGTGTCAAGTGCGGGACACAGTCCAGTCGACGGTCCCGTCTGTCCTCGGTTGCGCAAGTCGGCAACACCAGGACTGGTTCGATGACAGCGATGCCGCCATCAACAACCTGCTCGCCGAGAAGAATCGACTGCACAAAGCCTACGTCAGTCGTCCCACTAACGACAACAAAGCAGTATCCTACCGTGGTCGCCACATTGTGCAACAGCGGCTGCGGGAAATGCAGGACGCCTGGACGGCTCGCAATGGCCGAGGAGATCCAAGGTTACGCAGATCTCAACGAATGGAAGAATTTCTTCTCCGAGATCAAAGCTGTCTACGGTCCGCCAACCGAAGGCACTGCACCTCTTCTTAGCGTCAACGGCAGTACCATACTCCCCGAGAAGACACGAATTTTACGGTGATGAGCAAAGCACTTCCGAGGTTTCCTCAACTGCCCCTCCGCCATCTTCGATACGGCTATCGTCCGCCTGCCTCAAGTGGAGACCAACGTCGACCTCGGCCTCCCGCCCTCTGTACACGAAACTATCAGAACCGTGCAGGAACTCTTCAGTGGGAAAGCGCCCTGATCGGACGCGATCCCTGCTGAGATCTACAAACACGGTGGCCCCCAACTTATGGACAATATGGCGGCGCTCTTTCGGGATTTTTTACGTCCAGGAGGTGTCCCGCGGGATTTCAAGGACACCACAATCGTGCATCTATATGAGCGGAAAGCAAACTGCCAAATCTGCGACAACCACTGCGGTATCTCCTTGCCGAACATCGCCGGGAAACTCTTTGATCGCATCCTCTCTCAACCGTCTGAACAACCGCCTAAAACAGGGTCTTCTGCCGGAAAGCCAGTGCGGCTTCCGTCCTCATCGTGGGACCACGGACACAATCATCGCTATTCTCGTGCATATTGTTGATTCCGGCCAACGTATGATCTGCCATCATCGTGGGAGAACGGACATGATCTTCGCCGCCCGTCAACTTCAGGCGAAGTGCCAGGAGATGCGTATCCACGTGTACTTTACCTTCGTGGATCTGACGAAAGCCTTCGACACGGTGAATCGTGATGGACGGTGGATGATCACGCAGAGATTCGGCTGTCCCGAACGATTCATTCAGATGGTGCGTCAACTCCACGACGGCATGATGGAGCGCGTCACAGACAGCGGAACTGTATCAGAGGCGCGACCCTCGCAGCCTGGTATGCGCTGGCAGTTCCCTGACACCTGGTTCCCTTCCGGCAGATGCGCTTACGCTCCCGCTGGGTATACAGGTGGTGGGCATGGCTGCCCAGTCATCCTTGTTCTTATGACCCCTGTTGGGGCGTTGTTGTTGTTGTTGTTGTTGGGGGTGAAAAATTCTGGGCAGGTGTATGTTGTAGACTTGGGGGTGTAGTGGCAGGCCTAGGTGCGTGTCCGGCCATGCCAACCATCTGCGTCCTCCCCCGCCTCTTGTCTTGACGCCTGGCACAGGTGGGGAATGCGGAGGAGAGAGTGCGGTAGATGCTGCGCAAGTCTACTATCAATAGAAGCCGAATCACGCGCAAGTCTCCGTGCCTGCTGCACCTTGCTGTGTAGCACAAGGTGGATGTCGTCAGGACTGACGGTCGAGCTGTCAGGTGATGCTTTTAAAACAGTCTTTGACGTGGAACATTTGGATGTCGAACATCTCCAACGATTCATGCAAATGTTGAACCCCCATTTCTGTTATGCATATGTTCAAGGCTCGCTACATACTTGAGTGACACTATCCAGAAAGGGATGACTAAGGAAGCATAAAATGCATATAACATGCCTGGAATATTTCATTTTCGCAAGCTAGGTTATAGAAACTGCGGATGACATCTAAAAATAATACTCTGATTCTTGTCTCAAAAAATTAAATTTACAATTTTATACATCGAAGATGTTGTGTCCCACTCGGTATATAAAATAAAACTGACTTTTCAACAGTGCCACCTAACTGATGCTCTTTCTACCAATCCTTATTATGTAATAAAGTAGGGCGCAGATATGCGCACTCCCTCCAATCCATCTTCCAACGGTGTATTTTATGCATTAAAGCAAGCATTCCGCGCAAATTCGACTTTTGTTTCATATATTTACATATAGATCAAAGAACACCACGATCAATTTTATGCAAGGTTCCACTCCAGTGTTTCAAGTGACTCTGTGCCATATTTCGTGTCAGACCGGGAAAAATTTTTATCTGCAGGGACCAATGAAGCTGGCAAAGAGACACCAGTCGCATAGACAGATATATGCAAGCTAATGGTTGGGTATAAATGACGTGGCCCTAGACTAGGCTCTATTTTTATTAGACCTCATCCCACCTCAACGAACTCTGTAATGGGAGGACAGTCACCGATCAGGTAACAGGAGAGGATTGTCGTGTTATCCCTTGTGACTCAGTCCGGAGCCCTCGAAGGCAGTACCGAGGAAGAGAAGGGAGATTGAGACGGCATTTAGGGCCTATTAGACGTTGCCAGCCAACCACACCCTACCACACACAGCATTTCCGATCTCATCCGACAGCGCAATGAGCTCGTGGCTAAATCTTAGAATGCTGGACCACTTAACGCTCAATGATCAAAGAGCCTATACCACTAGTCGCTGTTCAATTGCCTGTGAGGGTTCTAGTTTGATCCCCAAAGGACAACGGGACGGGCACGTTCCGTGGCCCGATCGGTGAGCGCTCATCTATCATAATTAGTATTTCCGATCACAACCGCTAATAAAACGGACTTATGGCTCAATGGTAGACTGTCACACCGAATGATCAAAGATCTCGGGTTCAAATTTCAGGTGATCCACATCTGGGTTTATGTATGACTGGCTGGCGACGCCTTATAAGCCAGAAATAGCTGCTTCTGGTGTGCTTTGTTTTCATCAGTACTCCTTTAAGCGGTTTTTCCTTCTTAAGCATGCTCTCTCTGATGGGATTGGTGAGTTCCCGACGAGGTGCCACGGGAACATATCATTTCTGTTAAAGTATCTGCTTTCCTTGCGGGCCTATAACATTTAACATTTGTTTCAGATTATCTTAAGTTGCCGGCTGCGAATTTTTTAAATTACTGCTTCTATTGTATGAGGGACAAGGGGTATTTCCTCATTCCATCGGTTTCCGATGACCTTACACACTTCTCAGCTTGCAGCTGATTCTACCTCCCCGAACTAACCTCATGGGATATTGGCCGAAATTGTAAAATGCCTATTCGACTTGGAAGGATTACTTAAGGGAGCTTGATAATACCGAATATCTCGTGGCATAGTGCTGCCCGGTGACCGCTGTCGGCAAAAATGTCTATTTATATAGTAGACCATTTTTCCATTGATTTTCGATGCCCCTGCAAATTTGAATATATTTTGTACAGCATATGCATAAAAATATTTTTTATTGCGCTCTTTTGATAGCAAATCCTGACTTCTCCAAATTTATCCCCAAAGGAAGGGCATCTTTCTGTTTGAAAAAGTTTCTTGTGATGAGGTTTTCATGACTGTGCAATATCCATTCCAATAACATCGTGTCTGTTTGTTCAACGATACTCCTCATGGAGTTTGCGGCATAGTCTACAGTCTGTTGCAAAACGTCATGAGCTCTACAGCAGATGTGCCAACTCATGAAATGGCAACCCAAATTTCGAAATGCGTTCTCGGTTCGAAAAGATAAATTAAGTAGTGTTGTAAAACTAATCATGATGCAGCATAAGTCTATAATTATCCAGTTACCTCAGGGTGTCGGCTTTCGAACGAACTTATTTTCGGCTGCATGCGAGATCTATACTCTGCAAAAAATTACTACATAAGTAGCATGCAATTTTCTCATTGATTTTCGATGTCCTTGAAAATTCAATTATAGTTCATGGATAACATGCATAAATATATCCATTCTTTTACTTATTCGGTAGAAAATCACGTCTTCTTCCAATTTCATACTCAAACGAAGAGTATAATACGGTTTTAAAAAAGTTTCTAATTCTGAGATTTTTTAATACCGTTAAATGGCCGTTCATGAAACGTCATGTATCTGCATTTACGAATGTGGCTTGTAAAGTTAAAAATATTGCTCAAATCCACTGCTTAATTTTATGAACTTCATATGGTATCCTCTTAACACCATAGAGAAATGCATGGTTTTCCGTACACGGAAAATATACAGCTAATATTTAGTTTGGAAACCCTGAATGCAAGTGTAACAGCAGGTCGGGTTCAAAATTATTCGGGAATTAAAAAAGTTTTTTTTAAAACCGAATTATACCCTTCCTTTGAGTATGAAATTGGAAGAAGACGTGATTTTCTACCGAATAAGTAGAAGAATGAATATGTTTATGCATGTTATCCATGAAATATAATTGAATTTTCAAGGACATCGAAAATCAATGAGAAAATTGCATACTACTTAAATAGTAATTTTTGCAGAGTATAGATCTTGCATGCTGTCGAAACTAAGTTCTTTCGAAAGCCGACACCCTGTGGTAACTGGATCTTCATAGATTAATGCTGCATCATGATTAGTTTTACAACACTACTTAATTTATCTTTTCGAAACGAGAACGCATTTCGAAATTTGGGTTGCCATTTCATGAGTTAGCACATCTACTGTATATGGTATCTGTTTAATGTAATAGAGGAATGAATATTTTTAACTACGCGGAGAGTATAAAGCTAGTGGACAAAAACCCTAAGGGCAAATGCAACGGCAGATAGAGCTCAATATTATTCTGGAAACGAAAGACTTACTGGCAGAGTACCTTTATCCGACAAAGACAAGGGACACTGAAATGGCCATTTCTGGCTTATTAGCCGTCGTCAGCCGAAAATTTAAAGATATGATTTGCCACCAAATCAGTGCAGGACACGATATTTTTATGCGTGTCATCTACAAAATATATTTGAATTTATAAGGGCATCGAAGATCGATATAAAAATGCCTACTATTTAGTAGTCATATTTTACCGAGTGCTCTCATTGGAGGTGACCGAAAAGAAGGGCATTTAAAATCCAACACCCTGATATATCTGACAAATTACGGTATTATGCTGCAAGATAACCAATATTACAACCGCGCTTAAGTAATCCTACCTAATCGAAAACGCAATTTAGAATTTCGGATAACATTTAATTAAATTGGTCACTGACTGCAAGCCAAATGATCTGGAGCACTTTTCTCCCGCTCAAAGTTTGAGATGCGGGCGCTTACAAAGGAAACCTGATCACCGAAAACAGCAGCAGATTATTCTGATGCCCACAGAGCATCCAATATTGTTGTTTTACAAACTTCCAGGAAGTCGCCCACTGCACCGACGACGTATATTTGCAGCCGCAGATGAGAACTGGACGTCTGATGAGGCCAGATTGGGATAACCACCTTGTGCAAGGAGGCAACTGGTACAACTGCCTTGCTCCCACGACGAGCCACGCAATGGATGCTCCAAACCATGACGGGAGTCAGTTAGGGTCACGGAGCACGTTAATGAGGCTGTGCGGAGTCCGTGTATCCCATAACAACTTCCGCGCATGGGAGATGGGTTGACACGTCTAGGTGTAGGTGCAACGCCAGCAAATGCGCCCAATCCCCTCACTGGATGGCAAGGCGACTCGGACAGCGTACTGACGCATGGGAGAAGGATGACAGAGAATGTGGTCGAATCTGTGGAATCCAACGCCGTGGCAATTCAGCACATTTCTCTCAACGGAATGAGTGAGTTCCGTAAGAACGATCGGTGAGCGTCCCCCCACTGCCATTGTATATTCCCGATCGAAACCGACAGGGCGACGGGCTCGTGGCCCAGTGGTTAGAGGCGTGGACTTTCAACTAACAGGTCGCGAGTTCGAGCCTCGCATGTTCCACACTTCGGGGTTGGGTATGACTGGCTGACGACGGCTAATAAGCCAGAAATGACCATTCCAGTCTCCCTTGTGTTTTTCGGTAGTAGCATACTGCCTATATCATGCGCCATTGTGCAGCTGCTGGTTGGGCTCGGGAGAGAGCCCATAAGGCACAACGGAACGAGTGAGTTCCGTAAGAACGATCGGTGAGAGCCCGTTACCATTTATCACTTTAATAAATTTGACGAGTTCAACTCTATAATGAAGAGCTGAAAGTCGAGGATTTGATGGTTGTTAATTGGCACAGTAACTCGATTCTGTCGGGAAGGCGAGTCAAATTCAATGGTTCCTTTTTATGTGATCTCTGAGGCGCTCTCGTTCAGATTGGGATCCGAGCCGCTATATTCATGAAGATCTAGTAAGTGCCCGTGGGAACCAGGCCGTATGTGGCACGCGCAGACGGACTGTTGCAGATTTTCCAGCCCCTGCGCCCCATCCTTCCTCCGGTCTTCTTGGCCCTTTCTTGCCACCGAAGCCAGGCAGGTGAGGGAGGGGAGTGCGATAGATGCTGCGCAAGTCAGTTCTCAGTATAAACTGATTCACAGTTCTGCGCCTGTCATGCTGTGCGGCACACGGGACACATCATCGTTCGAGAGGCTCAAACTGCCGGTGCAAACCCCAGCCTGCTACAGCTACCACCCTCTTTCTGCATTCGGCACACGACTGGAGACTAGCCAATACGAAGTTGAAATACAGAGAGAGAGAGAGAGAGAGAGAGAGAGAGAGAGAGAGAGAGAGGGAGAGAGAGAGGAGGGGAGAGAAAGCTCGGTATCCGTTGTGCATAACCTTGAACCGGAACAAGCCATGATGAAGGCAGATAGACAGAAGTATCTGTTTTAAATCCATTCCGAGACTGCATAGATGTTCAAAGTAGCTGAAAAATGGGTTTCTAAAAGGACAACTGTACGTAACTTGCCAGTGTGTAATATTTGGTGGAGATAATAATTGTCGGCGGCTGGTGAAGAGCCTTGACCTTATATCTTGCAGGCATGATTCTGAAACTGGAATGCTCTCATCAAAGGAGTACACTAGAAGCAAAAATGTCTCTCATGGACCAGTGCTTTCAAAATTTTCAACCCCTGAAGGCTTTGGTGTGACAACTAATGCAATTAGAAAAACCCCAAATCAGCCGGTGGTGCGCAACAATTTGTCAACTGGCATGTTCCGACTCCGTACATCTCACTGAATTACAGCATTGCGAATCTTCGACGATCGCGCCTGTCTCGTTATGAAGATTCCTCATGTGGTTTCAACGATGACCACAAGCAAGAAGTGACTATGAACTGGAATCCGAACTGGAAGAAAGATGGCGAGGAAAGACAACAGCCTAAATCGACAAATCCCCTAAAATATTGACAGTTAACTGAGAAGAACCACTGAAACAGACTGCCAATTTCTCTATTCAATGATAAATCGATACATCAGAAACAATTTCTTTCCATCTAGAGACTGGTAACCCTTATGTACGGAAATGAGATTGACTCTTCCTATTTCATCAGTTAGCGCGCACTGGTTTATCTGCTTCCTGATTGGTCGGTTAAGGGCGTCTGGACTATCCGTAGTTCAGGTCGTCTTCTATATTCCAGGGGTTAGGGCCAGTGTTACTGTTATGGTTAGGAGGTAGCAGGACGGGTAGGATTGAGGTTAGGTCAGGGGGGGAATAGATGTCCTCCTGGCATTTAACGTAAGGCTACTGGGGTAGGGTCCACATTCTCGTGTGTTCAGTAGGTCTGAATTGGTGGCCGAGACCACTATCAGCCAATCACCTGTCAGACCGAGCTCCACTAAGCTATGATAACAGAGGTGGTCAGTGTCATAACTGACTGAACAAAGACAGGATAGGCCCGAAACAGTTCTGTGTAAACCTACCTGCATCTCTGCCGTCACCCTCTGTCAGCTTGGAATCTCGCCGAAAGAAAGTGAAGGTAATAGTTTGAATTTACTGCAAATCACAATTCCGGCTGAAAAAAACTGACGGGAAAACCCGTTATGGCAGTCTAGAGGTTGACGTAGGCTCAAAAATTTAGAACCCAAGTTCACAAGGTCAGTCAGTTAGTGATGAAATTGAAGTCTGACCCAGTCGACGTAGTTCTCGTACAGTGCCTGCGTTTGCGAGGAGGCCTCAAGAGACCACTATCAGCCAATCACCTGTCAGACAGAGCTCCACTAAGCTATGATAACAGAGACGGTCAGTGTCATAACTGACTGAAAAAAGGCAGAATAAGCCCAAAACAGCTCTGTGTCAATCTACCTGCATCTCTGCCGTCCCCCTCTGTCAGCTTGGAATCGCGCTGAACGAAAGTAAAGGCAATGCCGATAGAAGCGAACAGGCGAATTCCAGGTAGCAGTTCAGAAGACGAAGATGCGATCACTGGAACAAGAACTTTACTGGTCTGACCTTTCGGATTCTCACTGGAATCCATCATCAGAGACATTCGCAGATAAAGGTGATGGTGGCACAAGGAGTGCAGTATTTATAGCACGTGACTGCCGTGGGACCGTATGCGCGCTGTAATTAACAGTAAAGGGAATAATCGGAATTTACTGCAGACCAAAATTCCGGCTGAAAAAACTGACGGGGAAACCCGAGCAGCAAAGAACTCCTAACAGCTATGACAGTCTAGAGGTTGACGTAGGTTCAAAAAATTAGAACCCAAGGTTGCAGGGTCAGTCAATTAGTAATCAGATTGAAGTCTGACCCAGTCGAGGTAGTTCTCGTGCCGTGCGTGCGGCGTGGCCTCAAGGGCGGTAATGTCCGCCCGCAGGTCACGTGAATCATCGGGCACGAGAGAGAGGGGTCTGCATTGTAGAAACAGTTAGATTTCTCGTGTCGCATTTTGTATCAAATGCTGTTCCCTCAAGTGGAACCGTAGGCCGGAGAGGTCTTAGGCTGGCCGACTCGTTTACAGAAAGCAAGCCTCCCCCCGGGGTGGGAATAGGATGCCTACGGAGCATGAAAGGCACTCAACGCCAACAACCGTCAAGGCAGTCTGGCGCCACTGTGCGAGACATCTTGGCGCAGTCGTCTCGTGAGATGCAAACCCTCGTTTAATGAGAGCACAAGCACAGTTCTAGTTACTTGGCCAGAACACGGCATTAAGAGTGGTGGGTAAGATGCTGTAATGCAGCCGCTCCTGATGGATGATCTGGTATGATTACGTTGGCATGGTGTTGCTGTGCGTTGCGGTGGGTTTTCTGTTGGCGGCCTTGTTTCTTTTTTGTCGTGTCTACCCTTTTGAACCAATGTCGGTGGTCTTCCTTGACTTTCGGTTTGTCGTCTCCTTCTAACTTTCGCGTTGGATGTCCCAGGGTTAGGGTTTGGGGCTGCGGTTAAGGTTAGGGTTAGGGGTTATGGTTGTGTTTTAGGGTTAGGGGTTACGGTTGCGGGTTAGGGCAACTATTTCTCAACCGCTCAAATTACAACCACACGTTCCCAGTAGCCTTTCTAATGCATGCAATTACTTGACCTCGTCGCCTGTGTGTTCCCCGGTCCCACTTGATAAACGCCCTATTACCACCGGTCTCGAATAACAGGCGGTTGGGTTTTTTTACCTCAGGTGCGGCCACCTAGCCACATTTGACCGAGTGCTGGATTAAAATGACCTCGTCTGTCTTGTTAGCTCTGCAGACGAGACAAATGAACCTAGATATACGATATAGCGTAGCCACTGAAAGCGCTAGTCCAGGCAGGTGCGCGGTGCGACTCTTCGTCGTAATTTGCAAACCGAAAGAGTCACAATCAGCAAACAGTGTGTGGAACTAGGGTCTAGGCGTGTGTAGCATCGTGTTAGTATGAGCTTTGCTAAGGAATTCAATCCCACAAAAGCATTGCAAAAACTCGAAGAAGGAGACACGATCGCTGGGACAAGAGCTTTATTAGCCTGACGTTTCGGATTCCTGCTCGAAGCCATCATCAGAGATAAAAGCAGATACGGACAGACGCATGGCGAGACCCTAATATACGGCTTTAGCCCGATTCTATGACCTCCCTAAGGTGCACAAAGACGGTGCTCCTCTTCGACCCATCATGTGGTTCAAAGGGATTCCAACGTACGGACTGGCTAAGTGGCTGTTCCGGCGTCTCAAGTTCCTGACCGCTGAGTCAGACACCACGGTCTCTTCGTCAGCACAATTCCTGGGGAAACTCAAAGCCTCCATCCAAATGAGGTCATGGTGTCTTTTGATGTTACATCTCGTTTTATTTCTATTCCGCAGGACCTGGCGATCGAGACAATCGAACTGCTTCTACAAAGACCAGCATCTGCTTTTATCTCTAATGATGGGTTCGAGCAGGAATCCGAAAGGTCAGGCTAAACAATCTCTTGTCCCGGCGATCCTGTCTCTTTCTTCAAGACTACTTCCTGGGACTCGTCTCTTCGCTTCTATTGGCATTGCAGAAACGGACTAAACGGGAAATTTGAGTCGTCGATACGTAGACGTGACTGTGACTGCTTCGCCCGTGCGCTACCGTGACA